GTGGCTTCTCACAGCAACCACAAGACCGGCCACAACACCCCCCATCCTTAGCACACTTTTCCCGAAGCCATGTGTCCCTGAGATACCATTTTGAATCGCATCGCTGGAAACTCATAGCGCGGTACAGTGGAGTGTGTCCCATTTTCCATTCTAGGAGCTTCATGACCCCTTCGGTGGCGCGTACATCGTTGTTGAGTGCTTCCAGTTTCCGCTCAGATTTCCTCAGTTTTTCTTTGTAGCTGTTGAACTTGTTGAGGTCGTCACTTGCAGGTTGTTCGCTCTTTATTTCCTTATTATCCTGCAGTTCCTTTTCCCTTGCTTGTAATGCTAAATGTAGGAATTCTTCAGTCACGAAGTAATCATTGATATATTGCCACTGGTCCTCAGAAAGCCCAATACATTGGTGCTGTAATTTGCGCAATTTCTGGGCCTTTTGTGTTTTCCCTGATTTCTCGAGGATTGTCTCCACGGGCTCGAAGATAGCACTGCTGGCTTTGACCAGCGTGTGTCGCATGGACTCCGGTATAGACTTGCTGAGCTTCATATTTAGACGTAGTAGTCGAGTTCCGGTGAAGGAAAGGTAGTGATTTGATCGAGAATTATAAGAAGAAAATACGTGATAGAAAATTCAGAGAGACGAAGATGTGTGTGTATATAGGTCATGATTACACTAACCAGGATCATGTATCGCTCATCTCATCTGTAGCTCACTAGCCCGTCCATATTATGACGTACAGGCCGAAACTATCGCTCCTTCCCTTGTGTGTCCCTGCCAACCCAGAGAGCACTCTAACATGATATCTTCGATTAGCTGGTCCAAGAATATCGAACAACCATCACTGCGAACGTTGAACCCCCTTTTACCATCGTCACTCCAATTCTTGAGCACTCTGTTTACCACATAATCGTCTATCGCTACAATACTCTGAATACTCTCCATAAACGAATAAAAAACGATGCCTGCCATTCCTAATCGTGTTAGCCTATCCATGCTAGGACCATGGTGGGCTGCCATGGTCAGCTACGTTGTTGCTACATGCTTAACCGCTGTCCTCCTTGGTGTTTTGATATGGTGGTGGTTTTCTAACCGGTGAGTTCTACGGAGATGATACGATTTATAACCCATACATGTCAGGCACGATTGCTGACTTGGCTTACAGAAAGGCAGTCATTGATTTTTCAGTGACTCGACACGCCGACACAGCGCAAGAACTTTAAGAACTGGCAGGTATGCTGAATATACCCAGTCTTTGATGCTGCGTATACTAATATGATTGATTATACTAGGTACTAGAACCGCGGGCGCTAAAGAAGATACTACCGAAAGCGAACATTCGAAATCAGATGGAGAAAAGCACGAAAAAGGAAAAGAGGGCGAAGAAGGAGAAGAGGGCGAAGAAGGAAAAGAGGGCGAAAAAGGAAAAGAGAAGAAACCTACAGACGAAGGCGGAGCAGGCCCTAGTCAGAGAAGCGTCCAAAAAAGTGATAAATTAGGAACCTGGTCTGACACACATGATGAATCTCATCTCTATCAACATCCCTCCATAGCTGCGGCATCTTGAATCCTCGTTGCCAATGTGACCACCATTGCGATATACAGTAACATGTTATTTCCTCGCTTTCAAAGTATTCTAAATAGAGTGAAGATGTTTCTCTCAGTTAATATGAGTAGTTTCGGCCTGTACGTCAATTGACCGCTTCACAATGCAGTCTTGTTTCCCTCAAAACATTCAATACCAACAGTGAGTAACACTCGATCCTGTTGGGTTGAAGTGAGTAAATTTTCATTTAATTCTATTTCCTCGGGAGATCCAGCACTTCCAGTATTGGGTTGAAGTGAATTGGCCTACCCAGGAGCGACTTAAAAACTCCCTTCTTCCTCACCTCTCTTCCTCTTCCTCTTCCTCTTCTCTCTCCCACAGGTCTTTTGATTCTTTACTCTCCCCTGTCTACTTCACATACATCCTCCTCTTCCGATCCATTTCCATCTTGCTAACACTTCCTCCATCAACATCTATCTCTCTTGATTCTCGGTTCGAGAATCGCATATAGCCAACAAAAAGAAGAAAAAAAAAAAAGGTCCCTACATTTTCAGGCCTTAGTTCACCTCTGTCTATTTCTTTCTTTTCTCTTACCCTGTCTACTTCACATACATCCTCCTCTTCCGATCCATTTCCATCTTGCTAACACTTCCTCCATCAACATCTATCTCTCTTGATTCTCGGTTCGAGAATCGCATATAGCCAACAAAAAGAAGAGAAAAAAAAAAGGTCCCTACATTTTCAGGCCTTAGTTCACCTCTGTCTATTTTTTTTTTAACTCTCCTCAACCTGTCTACTTCACATACATCCTATTCCGAATCCATCCCAATCTTCTTTTTCTAACAACCATATCTTGACTTATTCTACGCTCATACCCAAGCAAGATACTCACGTCTTTTGACCGCTCTGGGTACTCCATACTTTGTGTCTGCTATTCAGTATTCAGTACACAGTTCTTATCACGAACCAGGTAAGCATTCCAGCGTCGAAACCAGCAGTACAACGACTATAATAACTCTCCAAGGCAGAATCAAACGATGGCGGGCCCCGGAAGAAAGCTCAGCCCAATGGCTCTAGATTTTATTCTGCACAGTAATGAAACCGATCAGATGGGAGTCACCGAGGAAGGCGAATCTGCCAAAGATGCCGATCAAATGGAAGCCCCCAAGACAGATGCATTTGCCAAAGATGCACAACAGGTAAGCTAGGCCAGACATTCCTCATGGTATGCGGGCAATCCCTGATGTGGTCTACTAGGTTGACGATGTGGAGAACTTCGACGAGCCCAAAGCAGGTCCGCAAGGAGCGAAACTGGCTGTAGAGGAGGTCAGTAATATAATGTGCCGGACCATTTCTATAGCTCAATACTAACTCTGGATTCAGGACGAGATCGAAGAATTCTGGAAACCTGATGAAAACAGCGAAAATATTGGAAGCGGCGCTTTCTCGGTAAGTCATCCCCGTCGCTTAGACACGACCAAGTTTGTCGATTTGAGAAGCGCATTACTCATACTTTTTGGATGGTACACAGACAAGGGAAAACGAAGATCTTCGCATTAAGGAAAATAACCAGGATGAATCTCAGAACATTCTAATTGCAATGGCCAGGGGCAGCTCCGCAGAAGCGCTTTATTTCAAGGGCCCAAGAGAACGGTGGATTCGTTTTTGTCTTCCCGATGGCGGATTTTTGCCAGAGAAATCTACTTTCTCATATGGGGATACGGCGGTCTGCTTCAGGATCATCGATCGGGACATTGCATCAAAGCTCTCTTTTGAGATATTTGCGACCGAGGAAATTTCGAAAGTCAAGCACGAGTTGCACCCAGAGAACGTGGTGCACTCTGCACGACTGGAATTCTCATTGCATATCGATGGGAAGCAGCCTCGATGTGTCCTGGACTTTGACTTCGAGAAACATTTCACAGTCAAGGCAACGGAAGGACAGTCCGGAGTCGAGTATGAACATCCATGCTATATTGACGTGGAGTTCACCACCATTGGCGGCGTTTCCTATGGTGTATACCATGAGAATGTTTCGCGTCTCAATGACCCAGCCAAGAGAGTGTTCGAGCATCTACAGCTTCTGACATCTCGCAACAACCGGGAACCGAAAACAGTGAAATTCCGGGTCGATCTAGATCCCGCGAAGATGGACCATATAACCTCTTTTCTTGATGCCTTGGGTGGTCTATCGGGGTATCTCCCCAATTCCAAGGCGTTCCACCCATATCGCGGCCACAGTGGTGAGCCCAGAATCATATTTGGCCAACAAGTGCCTAGGCTGTTGGTAGAACAAGATTACGGATCCTCTCTTGTGAAGTTTAGACCAACGGACTTTTTCCATGACATCGACGAATACGTGATTAAATTCGCGTATGGAACAACAATCGAGTGGCGGCGTCAATACGAACAAGTCAAAAGGTTACAGGGGGTTCCATGCGGTATTCGAATCACGAGGGTTGGATCTACCATTATGGCCCACGTTCGTCCGGATTCCAATCAAATCAAAGACAACCTATTGCCAACCGAGATAAGAGGAACCGAGGTCCTGTTACCGGAATATACAGACGTGAATCTCACTGTCAAAGTTCCCCAGGTCGCAGGACCCGCCGCTGAGTGGAAAGTCAGTGGCTTCACGGTCGCTGACTATAATGAGAATACGTCACCTGACGAGTTAAACATTGTTCTCTACGGCGGAAGGATTGGCAAATTGCTCAAAGAAGAATCCACTGTCAACTATGGGGGAATCATGAAGTTCGATATCAACGAAGCCCCTATCAAACGACAAATTAATGCGCTAGAGAAGCTGCGCTCGGGTGAGGGTGGAGTCCACCGATGGCATGACCTTCTCCTAAACCAAGAAAACAGCGCTTTGAAAACTGTGGACCTCCTAGAGGGAATCGAACAGAATGTGATTAACTCAGCACTGCGTCGTCTTTTGGAGTTGAGAGCCTGGACTCACCAGCAAAAGGCAGCCTTCAGATCTCTTCGCCTGACAAAGGCAGGTTGTTCCCTTTTGGAGGGTTATCCAGGTTGCGGCAAGACCACCGTTCTCGCTGCGGTAGCAATATTTCTTTACGACTGTGGTTTAAACGTCCTCCTCCTCGGAGCTAGCAATGCCGCCGTGGATGCCCTGACGGATCAACTCACCGCACTGCGTAGCGTTCATTACGTGCGTATTCGTCGTGGAGAAATCGAGAGCCGGTCCAGAGCATCTGCTTGTCCACGGGATTCCGATGGAGGCGCGGGCCCAACTAATCTCGAGAACTACACCAATGCCGAGAAACAAAGTGCTCTCGTCGGGTTTTTGCAATCTCTCAAGGATATGCAATCTCAAAAGGGCGTGGGTGTTGATGATTATACTCTCCCAACTTACATCAAGGAAAAATGTACTGAGAGTTTGAACGCCGGTGAAAAACTGCCACTAAATCTGGCCCCGGGAGCAAAAAAAATGATACTGTGGTTCCGGATGGGATTACCGATTTGAACAAGTATGACATCCAGGATGCATATGAAGTTGTCAATAACTACTTGTCTAAGCCAAAAGATCGACGCCCGGGCCCTTCTTCCCCAGAGGAGGACGCAAAATGGCTAGCAAAGGAGACCGCGTTCAAGAAGTGCTGGGATGCCATTGGTGAACTTGTGGTCCAGGATGCATCCATTGTAGCCTGCACGCACAATCTAGCCGGCACACCTATCGTCAGGAGAAATCTTGGTGCAAACGGGAAGAAAATTGTTATTATTGCAGACGAAGATGGACAGGCTCTCGAGCCAGACGTGCTGATACCTCTCGTTTCTCTAGACAGGCCGGGGGATGTTCTAGGAACAATAAGAGGGGGTGACCGACAGCAACTCCCCCCCCTGGCAGTTACAGCGTCTGAGGTCCCCGGGTACAACGAATTCGGATACCAGATGGGAAGATCGCTATTTGATCGACTTCGTCGCTCCCAATTCCCCTTCACACTAGTTTCTGAGCAACACCGCATGCAGCCGCGTCTTTCAAAATTTCCATCCGCTTTCACCTACTATGGGAAAATGATTGACAACCCGAGCGTTCAATCGATTTCCATGGATACTAAGTTTTCAGATGCGCTACTTGGTTGGTTCAAGACCAGAGTGCCAGATGTCAATTTCAAATCGGGCATGGAACTCATCGGCGTCAATGTGATGGATGGGGAGACTGTGGTTAATGACAGAACTCGGTCTCGTTCAAATCTTGCCAATGTCACTATCGTCATGGAGCTCGTGGAGTTTCTTCTTCGTCGTGACGTGCTCAAAGGAAAGACTTCCACTATAATCACGACATATGCGGACCAAAAGAAACTATACATACGCCGCATGATGAAACTGTCCGAAAAGCTCAGTATCGCTTGGGAGGATATGGTGAAAATAGCAACAGTCGATTCCATGCAAGGACATGAAGCGGACTTCATCATATTGGATTGGGTTGTGGACTCGGGGGAAAAGTCCGAACTGGGCTTTGCCTCAGACAATCGCCGTGCAAACGTCGCTCTCACAAGGGCTCGAGCGTGTCTGATCGTTGTAGCGAATGGGGCCATCCTCAATAACGACAGGCTCAGTGAAAACAAGCCGCTGGACGTTCATCCCGAAATCCTTGTGCACTGGCAGAGTCTGGTCAATCAGAGTCTCGTTGTGGACGTCCGCGCTGGCCTGATGACTAGTGATACCGACGACGCATATAACTTTCAAGAGACCCCCGCACCGACCGATGATGCTGGTTTTATGGCAAGCACTACTGACGATCAAGAGAACATCTATCCTGGCGAAGAAGAAGCTTGGAATGCTCCTTGGGGCAATGATACTAGTGCCGAGACTTCGACTGGCTGGGAGAATTGGTGATGGGTTTCAACCCGAGTCTCGTCTCGTTGTATCCTTGTAGGTACGTGGTTTTCGTGGCGACAGTCGCTCCTTCCCTTGTGTCTTCCTGCCAATCCAGAGAACACTCTAACATAATATCTTCGATTAGCAGGTCCAGGAATTCCGAACAACCATCACTGCCAACGTTGCTTGTTCTTTTACCATCATCACTGCAATTATTAAACACTCTTCTTACGATCATCACTTCGATTATTGAGCACTACGTTTACCATTATCATCGTTTATTACTACAGAACTCCGCCTTTCTTCTCAATCATGCCTGCCATTTCCAATAGCGTTAGCCCATCCATGCCAGGACCATGGTGGACCGCCATGGTCAGTTATGTTGTCGCTACGTGCTTGACTGCTCTTCTCTTTGGTATCTTGATCTGGTGGTACTTTTCCATTCGGACTAGGTGAGTTCTACGGAGATGATACGATTTCTAAAACATACATGTCAGACACGGTTGCTAACTCCGCCTACAGAAAACCAATTGTTGAGTTTTCTATAAGTCGACAAGCCGATACGGCACAAGAACTCCAAGAACTGGCGGGCTGGACCCCTCCTGGTATGCTGAAGATGTCTAGTATTTGATGCTGCATAAACTGACCTTGTTGAATAAACTAGGCAGTAGTACCGCGGGCCACAAGGAACACACCGAAACTGAAAATTTGGGATCAAACGGTGATGATGGAAATGGTGAAGGCACAAGCAAAGTCGAAGCAGGCAGTCGTGAAGAGGATTCCCGACTTGGAAAAAAAGCCATGAAAATCTCGTGTTAACGTTGACCTGCTGCACGTCACATTAGCTTTTAGTTTGTCTACAACGCGCAACTCGAACAATTTGCTTTACTTTGCGTGTATTATCAGCTTTAGTTTGATGCTCCACTAGGGAACAATCTCAATTCAATCAGTGAAATACTGAAATCTTTAACCCAACTTGTGTAATTCTTGTTCCAATGTCAAACGTAGCTAATGCCAGATAAAACATCAGGTTCGAAGACAACTGTGTGCTATGAAAGTAGTATTCTAAGTAAGCCGCTCAGGATGTATGGTATAAGTGCTTCATTCCATTGATATTTCAATATTACTGGAATGCTGCACTGCTAAGCAGTTGTCGTGTGTCGAAGCAGGCGCACGTCAACCCACCAACTAACTAAACTATCCGTCCGTCCTTCCTCGGAACTCAACCATCAAAAGCATGGACGACACCACCATCACCACGGAGACACCTTACTGGCCGGCTTCACATCAAACCCATCGGCGGCAGGCTACGGTCATAAGTGGCAGGTGCTCGAGCAGCTGTTAGCGATGTGTCGGCGGCGGCGCCTCCGAGAAAGCACAAAAGAATCAAGCTAAGCTACTACTATACATGCTGTTCATATGAGCAAATCTAGCGGCGAGACAGTGTTGGCACATTAGACAAGTTGGTACTACTACAGAGAGATATTCAGGAGAGCCGTTCATTGTGCTACTACAAGAACATCTCATCGGGGGGCGCTTCCGGGGTAAACCAAGGGAAGTCAGATTTGTGTTGCTTCTATTTTAGAGGATCGTAGGTGGGTGGTAACTGGCTTTCAGGTATTATAAAAACTAACATCAGTCATTCATTGTCGACAGCACGTCAGTTATCTACCTAACCTCCCTCTTCCCCTCCGTTCGGGGGAGCACCCTCATCCTCCGACGCACCGCCCTCTACTTCTGCCAGCGCCTCACGCTGCGACTTCTTCTCCTCCGTGCCATTGGCAGGAACCGAGACCAGTCTCGCCGCATTGATACCACCCGACGTGACGTAGAGAAATTCCTCTTGCGAGTAGTGGTCAAGGTGACCGAAGAAAGCGGAGAAACTAAACGGGAGATAGAGTCATTAGTTTGGAATCAAGGAGTGTAAATTTGATCAAGGGGAAGAGAGGAGAGGACACGTACGCATGAGTTTCTTCTTCCTCACGGAAGATACGATCGTAGATCTCACGCTGCTTAAACTCATTGATGGTATCGGCATGCTTGTCAAAGTCGATGGGGTCTTTTCCGGTCTCGTGGGTCTTCCGGTTATACGAGTCGAAGACGGGCCGTTCCAGAAGCAAGCCTAGACCAGGCGCCTTAGGGATAGCGATCTTATTGGCACCGTAGGTCTCGACAATGCGCTGGGGATCACAGCCGCAGCGCACGACCATGGCAGCCATGGCAACCATCTTGCGGATCTGGTGCATCATGAAACTTTGGCCGTGGACCTTGAGGCTGAGCCATTCCGTGCCGTTGATGATAATGGGCTGTTCGGCCATCTTGAAGGACTTGATGTGACGTTTCGAGGACGGGTCGGCGTGGGTTTTTTGGATGGTGTAGTTGAAGAAGTTATTCGTTCCGACGTACTTGTCCAGGGCTTCTTGCACGCGGGCCAGGCGTTGGGCCGGGATCCGGTAGGCCCTCTTCGCCTGGAGGTAGGCGGCTTTAATGGCCTTGACGGTCTCGAAGACCTTACGTCGGCGCGCTTCTTCGGCCTCGTCGTTTTCGGCGGCTGCGGGCTTTTCTTCAGTAGATGGCCGTTCGGTGGTTTCCTCCAATGTGGGCTTGTCTTGTGTCTGGAACATGTCGTCTTGCGCGGACCGGTCCTCATCGTTCAGGTGGAGGACCTTCTCAACGAGCTTGCGGATATCCTCGGGCGTGTTGTCGAGGATCGGTCGGACGTACTTCTCGTCGGTCTCTTCCCAGTAGCTCGCTACCTCTTCCTGTCGGGCCTTGTATCCCTCCATGTCACCTTCCTTCTCGGCGTACTCGACGAGTTTCTTACCCAGGTAAGTGCTGGGGTGAGGCGGCAGGAAACAGTGGGTTGGGATGAGGTATTCGTAGATGCGAGAGTCGCACAGCTGATAACTGCTAAACGACTTGTTCGTGACGAGGATGTCCCATACGCGAATCTGCGAGCTGAGCTTCTCATTGATCTTCTGGATGATGTCTTCGTCTTCGACAATCAGCTTCAAGGAAACAATGTTTCCCGCGGCGTGGACACCCTTGTCGGTACGCGCGCATCGCACCAACGATGACTTCTTCGGATCGGTTGCGTTGGCCTTGGAGATGGCGCCGGCCGCCACGAACGCCGCAAAGAGCTCTCCTTCGATGGTCTTTTCCGTTTCACTCCTACCGACAATCAGTAACAGCTCCGATAATGCTTCGAGATAATTCGCAAGGATCCGTAACTTTACAATTGCATGCCCTTGTATCCGGTTCCCGAGTATCCCAGCAGCACGGCGACCTTCTTCTTAGGGCGGCGCTGCTCGCTCTCGATATCCTCCTGAGAGAATTGCGTCGCATACACAGGAGCCCTGACCTCCTCTCCATTCTCAAGCTTGCGACGTTTCGCTTCCTGCTGAGCATCGTGGCGGGCTCTCTTATCTACCATATTCCGACTTTCTGGGTTAGCTGGAAGTCAGACAATCAATTGCTCAACCCAAATATTTCGGATCGGGGTTTTTGCACGACATACCTCCACTCGGATCGTCCCATATTCCGCTTCTTACGACCTCGATCAGCTCCGCCTCCGGCTTGCGGAGGTCTTCCTTCGTTATTGTCCATGGGATGCGACGGGCCTTAAGCGATCGTAGGTACTCAGGAGAATAGAATCGCGCTTGGGGGGTGCGCAGAGAAGTGCGCGCGCCAGAAATTGACAGATGGGGGACCAAAGAGCGTCGCAGGATAATGTGGAGCGGCATGGGAAAAGCTGCTTGTCGATGCGCTTTTCTGCTCGCCGTTTCTTTCTGTTGCCGCATTTCTATCTCCGCGCTAGTCCGCTTGCGGGGATGTGCATGCCCCAGGCAGAACAATGCATGTATGCCTGAGGTGTCAATTATCTCCGCCGGCTTCATTCATTCAAACCTCTTCTTCTCTTTCCTCTCTCGCTACTCAATCCCCTCACCCTCCCTGCGCGATTTTTGTCGACCTAGTATATACTACAATTGAGCTCTCGTCATATACGTCCGTCCCACCAGTAGCTCTCCCACAAAGCATGGTGATCTTGCAGCGCCGAGCTTGACACTGGAAGACAAGGACATTTGCGCCGGTTGCGCCAACTGAATCTCCAGCTTGACCACCACCTCGCCATTCCCTCTTTGTATTATATTCCGCCTCTAAACACCACTTGTTAAACTACACCAGCTACCATGGATCTCGCAAACACTCTCATCCGCAGCGTCGTGCGCGCCTTTTACGAGACCCGCCACATCCTCGTAGTAGATGCGCTCTTCATCCACTCCGTGTACGTCCCGCGCCGATATCATCGCATCACAACGGACACTCCATGCTGACCTGATGATCCATAGTCTACACGCAGAAGATCTTGCATTCCTCCTAGGTATGCAACAAAAAGACCTACGGAAACTCTGCGCCAAGTTGCGCGAAGACCGCCTCATCTCCGTGTAAGCTACACCCACGCCTATACCAACGTCACCCTCACGGAGAAACCACCGACGCTGACAATCACCCAAAAATAGGAGCACGCGCGCTGAAATCCGTGATGGCTCAACACGTCCGGTGAACCGCGAATACTACTACATCCCACTGCACCCCGTCGTCGACGCGATCAAATACAAAGTCTCGAAACTCACCTCCACAATAAAAGCACAATACACACCCAGCCAAGAGCGCAAAGAATACATCTGCCTCCGGTGCGGCTCCGAATGGACCGAACTCGACGTCCTCAGTCTCTACAGCGAAGAAGGCTTCGAATGCCAAAACTGCGGGGCGATCCTCGAACGTACCGAAGATGTCAAGGGCGCCGAAGGCATCGACAGAACCGGACACGAGAAAAACAGCAAACTAATGAACCAACTGGACACGATGCTCAAACTCCTCAAACAAATCGACTCCGTCGAAATCCCTCCCAATGACTTCGACACAGCCTGGGACCATAAAATTGACGTCGCCCGGAACCAGCAAACCCACCCCACGCGAGCAGCAGTCATCGTGCCCTCGAAGCAACAACAAGAAGCCGTCCGCGGAAACACCAAGACCGATGCTACCGCCCTCGAAATCTCCCTCACCTCTAGCGAAGAGAAATCCGCCGCCGAACAAGCCGCCGAAGCGGCGCGCAAAGCGGCAGTCGAGAAACAGAATGCCTTGCCAGTCTGGCACACCCACTCCACGGTGACCACGTCAGCGGGCAGCGGGCCGCAGATCAAATCCGAGACCGATGTCGACATCAAATCGGAGATTAAGGCCGAAGACGAAGACCGGAAACCGGAGATCAACGGTCTGGATGACAAGGTCGCGGCGTACTACGCTGAGATGGAGCGCGAGAAGGCCCTGCAGGCGCAGGAAGATGCAAGCAGTGCGGAAGAGGACTCGGATGAGTTCGATGAGTTTGAGGATGTGGGTGTATCCGCTAGTGATGCGGGTGCTTCTCCTGCTGTCAATGCCACGCCTACGCCTGGTGGAGGCCCTACCAGTGCGCCGATGCAGCAGAGTTCGACTGCATCTTCGGTCGGTATCAAGCGGGAGTTGGATACGGATTACTCGAGCGTCAGTACGTCTCAGACAGCAGCGGCGACGCCAGCCACGGGAAGTGATGAAGGACCGACGACGAAGAAGATCAAGACTGAACCGGAGGTCAAGAAAGAAGAAGAGTCGGATGAGGATGACGATGAGGAGTTTGAAGATGTATAATATTCGATTATTGCGTGACTTGTATTTCGCATCTCGGTATGGGCGCGGGCGCCCTCACCCTGTTTATTCCAGAGTCTTAACGGCCAGGACGTATGATAGATGAATGTAAAGTGAAGCACCTTCTGGAGAGGGGACCGAGGCTTATGATTCTGATATTTCGTAGAGAACAGGATGTCCTAGCTCGCATTTGCTGGCGAACAAGGCCTTTGGCGGAGCACGCCCCAACATTCGGAGGTACAACGTTGTTTGCCAGTTGGCAGATTTACTTGGAGGGAATACGCAAGTCATCAGTACCGATCGACCAATAGGAGAGGCGGTGTCTGCAAAAACTTTAGGGAACACTCAATCAGAAGAGACTTGGGGAACGACGCAACTTTGCCCATGCTATAATATATATGATTTGATACAATTTGACCGACAAGTCTATCATTTGATGTGGGTGTCGAGCTACTGAACACATTCAGGCGATAACAACCTGCCATAAGTGGTTTCCTGAACTTCTCCTAGCTTGTCCGAGGTTCCAAAAACTTGATGTCAGCTTTTGATTTTTGTTCATTGCTACCATCTTGGTAGTGCTCGCTTTGATGTACACGCTCCTTTTCAGCTGCTGTAAGGCCTACCCTCGCTGATAAAATAGTCCCCGGATGTGGCACAACCGCCACAGCTGCACCTCAACAGGTAGTAGCTAGGAAGGAAGAGAGATATGTGCCGGGGAAATATCATTCTACGTTCTACGTTAGCAAATATCGTGGTGAAACCGATGTGTTCCATTATCTCTAGTTTACCATATCAATGTATCAAGTCTGAAAGACGTGCCAGTCTTATCAGAATAGGAGCCATCACTTGAGCAATATCAACCACCAAAAAGACTACGTTATGTCTAATCAAGGCTAGCAGGTTTAATACTGGGCATACAATTCGTGGAAATTTAGATCTAGACTATTCTTTCCTTGTGTGATTGAGAAACGTATCAAGAATCATATTATTGTCGAGTGCAGAGTATTTAGATGGCCATGATTATTGACAGGCTTATCATATAGTCACTAATCCTGCTGACTGTATACTGTTCTCATAACTAATCCGCTTTTCCTTGAGAACCTATATGAAGAGGAGGTTTCTGACGGTTTGCCACGCGGTTTTCGTTCACCCCTGTAATCCGCTATATTAATATGTTGTATATAAAGACAGATTGTCTTAAAAGCCCGCTCGATAGTTCAATGTGGTTTCTTTTAAACACCCTAAGGAATTTTTGACATCTTTTCCCCACTTTCTATATTTTCTGGGCATAACACCATACAAAGTGATGCCCTTGAAAACAGGGATACGCGCTTTGTGTTTCAAGAGACGCAGCTCTTTGAGAACAACAGCTTCAACGACTTAACGAATAAAAGGCTCTTTCCTATAGTCAGTTCTGACACTGTCGGAAAGCATTGCTGGAAAGTATGCGGAGAGACCATGCCCCATCCCGAGTGTCTGAAGCTTCATGTCAGCCTTCGGCAAACTGCAACGATGTACTCCTTTACTGAATATATTTATATAAATATTCTATTAGCAAAGAAAGTCGCATGTTATGCCAAAATTCAGCCATTTGGCCTTTGTCATCCACGGTGATGAGGTTCCATTGTCGTAAAGACCCTGTTGCAGGATCATCCGACTCGGAAATATGATCAATATTAAAACATTTCCCAGTAGAATTATGGAAAAATGGCCATTTTTGCCAAAATAACAGGCAGTAAGTCTGGCAAGCATTTCCTATCCTTGACAGTCTAGCCAAAATCATTTCGATAAAATCTTTTTCTGAAAGCTTTGCCAGAAGGTATATAGTACCAATGTCTTCTCCCAATCCTGCAACTTGGGAGGAAGTCTAAAGTTCGTACTGTTATGCGAGGAAGAATTCGTAATTACCAAAACATTTTGTTGTCTTCTTCCCAGTAAATATCTAGCTTTTCCAACACAGCTTACATCAGAGGACAACATGATCGATGTAAGTATGACCTATCTTAGTCACGAGCGAATGAGGCAGCAGGCTGCTGCCCTTGAATCCGAACTTCATTGACATTTGAGACCCGTGAAGCAAATTTGCCGCAGTAAGGGTTCCAAATCCTTGTAGCTGACCAATCTTGGTAATATAAAACAAGATTTAAAAAAGCTTAGAGATTTACATATTTATAAATACTGTAGGTGTTATCATCTTGTCATTCTTATAGGTAAATATGAAGACGGGATAAGTACTGAGTCGTACTCCGCCACTGATTCACAAAGACGTGGCTTATGCAGCTTTTCTAGTTTCTGTTAGCTATAATAGCCCCTTTCACAATGTACCATAAATGATATGGTGCCAAGCTGTCGAAGCCGCATGGCTTCTGTAGGTAATAGTTAGAAAGAAATCTTTTATTATTCAATAATAAAGACCATGAAGTTTTAAAGAAGGCTCAAATTTGTGTTAAATTAACACAGGCAAGGCAGTCTTGCAGGTTATCGGCATATGGAGCCTGCCTTCCGTTTTCTTGATTTGCTAGATTTCGGAGTCTTTACTAGACTCTGAAGTGTACTGTAGCTTGTGCTATAGTATCTTTCTCCAATGATTTCTGAATTAAAGACGCAATTTCTTATCTTTGCAAAGCTTCAAAACCAAAAATAAGTATTGGAATCTTTGATATGACCGAGGAACTTCCGAATCCTCAAGGAAGCGATGTTAACTGTTAAAACAGTCTTATAAAATTGAGAAAGATATGCTTCGAAGATAAATATCTGATATAACACACTTTCTTGCCGGTAGGCTTTCTACCAGCTGTTTCGCCTGAGATGTCGATATGGTAGCGGTATAGCTGCTTGCCTGTTTGAACTCAGTTCAAAATATTTTGCGTACAGCGTGACAGGCCGTCCCTGGGTTCACGACCTCCACAGATAGCAGAGTGCTTACTGCCACCTGAGTCGCTGGAAGAACCACTTTTACTTGCAAGAACGGTTTCTATTCCAATAACGTTTCTGATCTTGTTGTCCGTGGCCATCTCGGCCCCAATGTCCAAACGGAGGACGCAATGTCCAAACGGAGGACGCAATGTCCAGACCAAGCACGCAATGTCTAGACTAAGGACGCAATGTCCAGACGGATGACACAATGTCCAGACGGAGGACGCAATGTCTAGACAGAGGACGCAATGTCCAGACGGAGGACGTAATGTCTAGACGGAGGACGCAATGTCCAAACAGAGGACGCAATGTCCAGACAGGACCAGATATACATGTAGAGGAGCTTTATTAAAGCTATATACTTTTTCGGACAAAGATGTCTATTAGAGTCATATCCTTTTGCTTTAGGATAGCTTCGACTAGAGGCTGAGTCAAAGATGCATAAGACATTCATATCAACGAAAGATTATTGATGGTTGAAGCGTAGTATAGTAAGGTGCCTTGAGATAGTTGTCAGTAGAAAGATAGTTTTTGCTGGGGAAAGATGGGGACTTTTATACCCCGGGACTCCCCTGGCGTTGTGAATGCTGGATCTGGGCGTGACTGAGCAAGAGCTCGCAGAGTCACAGCTATGAGTCTATTTCGTGAATCCCAAGGCCATAAGAAGGCAAGGAGGCGTCATTGATTTGCTTTTGCAAATGAATTGGCTCCGGATTGGTGAAGTGAACCAATAGGTAATTGTGCCTATGAAGGGTTTCCAGGATCCATGTAGATGTTCAGGGAATGCTCATAGATGAGTCTTCCCTGAGCCCGAGCCCTAGGTTACGCCAGGCCAGTTAGTCAGGTCTTGAGACAATGCTGACGGACGTTCAACACAATGCAGGACGCCCCTATCATGCCCAATTTTACTCATCAATGAAGCAACGCGTGAAATCAATGGTGATTTATATAGGTAGTTAGGAAGCAGAAGGTGGATAGGGCCGGAAGCAAAGAAACGTGGCATAAGGTAACTAGTCGGCCCTTTCCTTTCCTTTATTTTTTTTCATCGACTTATCTTGTTTTGGGGGGGGGGGGGAATTCCTGGTTTTCTCTCCCTGCTTCGTCGAATATTCCCTGCTTCGTCGAATATTCCCTGCTGAGTCGAATATTCCCTGCTGAGTCGGTTATTCCCTGCTGAGTCGGACATATTGTGAAGCACCTGTTTATCTAGCATCTAACTAGTGGGTACAATTGGGTCAAAGATTATGAAATAATTAAATAAACAGAGCAAGGGGTAAAGAAACAAAGAACGGAACATTCATTAGCTGAATGGACTGAGTATCCACTCCTGTACTGCGCGAAAGGTATCATGGCCCCAGAAACAGTGCACCCACATTTACCTTTTTGCCGCTTGTAAGACAAGCTGCGTCAATCCATTTGGAGACTCCCAGACGAGGCCACGCAACCCGACGGAGGCGCTGGCGGAACTGAAGCACAGGCCGCGCACAATAAGATTCCTGCTTTTGACAGGGCTGGCCGCTGGCTACCGCCAATATAACAGCTAGTGCCCCCAGCATTAGAAGCATTCTCCGCAGTGGTATCCGCGAAGAAGGAAGCAATCATATCGCATACCGCGCTTATAATTGGCAGAGTGCATGAAAAATGGGCGACGTGGCAGCATCCCATTTCGCTGCTTAATCAACCCTTACCTTCTTCCAGCGAATACATATGACAACAACCACTACGATATCTGCCTGTGTGCCCCTAGGAAGCCAGTGGATTGCAAGAGGAGAATACACTGGATCTTAGGACACCTATTCTGACAAACGGACGGACTATACCTACGGGGTCCAAGCTACAAAGCTATATAGAATCGGGAGGCCATAAATAAGGCCTAGGAAGACCTTGATGGCCAACGATTGTCTTACGGCCGCGTTTTTGGACTATGAGCGAGCGGGTTCTCGAGGGTTAGCTGACGTAAAGGGGAAAAACAAAACGTAGGCTGCCCGTGGTTGTTGTTGCTCTTGCCTTATCCTCGGATATGGCACAGCCAAGGTACCCTTCCGGGGTCGCTAGGGGCTGATAAAAGGAGTCCCCTTCTTTTCCCGTATTAGATACTAGCATATGTCTACATTGGACATGAATGTTCATAAGCAGTACATTTTCATGTAGGTATCGAATATAAGATCATAATTACAGTTCTTTCTACCTCCCAGTATTTGGCTTCCACGTATATCAGGTATCAATGTCTACGGGGACTCTCTAGATGGTATCCTTGCACGATGGGCTTTCTGGCCGGTAAGCTTTCTCCCAGCTGCGTCGCCTAAAATATCGATATGATAGCGGTACAGCTGCTTGCCTACCGACTTCAGTTCAAAATAGTGTTCACGACCTCCACAAATAGCATAGTGCTTATTGGCACCGACAGAAGCGATGGTCGGATCACTCTTGGGTTGAAAGTCCAGGATGGTATTCATGACCTAAATAATATCGGTCTTGGATGCAAGCATGGCAGCAGTATCAGAAGATGTGAGATAGTTCAGGAGGTCGGATGGGTTGAGGGTTCCTGTATATTAGCACCGTCTCACCCGGTAGACCTTAGGATCCTAGGGGTACTCGTCCTCATATTCATCCCGATAGCGAACATCTTATTCAGCGGCCTCCTGTTACATCAGAATCTTCTGGTTTGCAATAAGCGTGGATACATAGTCGGTAACAACACTGTTACGGAACTGAGCCAAATGTTCTTCAAGAAACAATCGTACGATGTGACCCATCGAGATTGGCACTGTGCAGCGAGCCACCCATGTCCCTGAAGAACATACGCTTGTTTTTGGCGTTCAAAGCAATCAGATTCCTTCAAGATGCTTTGCGCACCAGGATCTTGGCTTCCAACTTATTCAACGGCACACTGGAAAGATCCACCGAGTTCACTATGTTCCCCAAGGAGGCTTTCCACCGTCCATCCGATACAATGTCTTCTGTTGGGACACATATCTCACCGTCGCCTGACTTACTAGACCTGATATATCTGTTTTAAATCTAGCGGTTAGTGTTTTGACGTCTTACCAAGCATGGTCTAATTGCACGATGAAAATCTGCAGAACATGTGTGTATCCGGCAAAAGACGTACATGAGGGGGGGAGGGAAGGGAAACCAGATTGTGAGAAGTCCTTGCCTAGTGTAAGTACAGAAAGAACTAGAGATACAGGATATATATGCTCTGAAACCTAGAAGATGTAGTTCCCAAACATGATATAGCACTTCTCTGCAGTTGACACGATAGGCATCTGAAATGAGAATGTCAATTGTCTAGACAAGCCTGTGGGCGGTGATGCTGGAGTACTCACGGATTCTACGTGCTGGGTGTATGTAGATCTGTTATATAATTCCCTGGATAGTTAACTAAGTTTTCCTAGTTAATAAGGTTAATAAGCCTGAAAATTCTTTCTAGTTTTTTTTTTTTTTTTTTTTTTTTTTTTTTTTTTTTTTTTTTTTTTTTTTTTTTTTTTTTTTTCCGTCCCTCGGTCTTTTCGCCTTTTCCTTCTCATTCCCTTAACTAAATGAGTAACACTTCGTGTAGCTGTTCAACCTGTTCTATAACTGGGCTAGTAATTGTCCCCTGCAAGAGGTCAGTTTGAACCTGTCTATAGTAGAGCTGTTCTGAGAACCCAGTCATCTTTCCAGTACTGGTAATAATATAGTTGTCAACCCCCTTCCCAATACTCAGACTATAAAGATATAGACTTTATAGGTTCTGTAAGGTTTGCTGCTCAAGCGGCTGTAGGATTACCATGTATCTATTATGATTTATTATCTTTGATGAAATCTAGAAGTTCAGATACGGCTTATATAGAGTAGTACCAAAGCCCACATGGGAATAATAATCGTAGCTTTAGCTCAGCGTCACTTGCACATGTTTCGTGCAAAAGTCAAATAAACTACACTAGAAGAATCAGTTTTATCATCGCTCTTCTAGCCAACAGGAAGCCAAGGCCATTTGCCGAATACAAAGTTGGACATTTAGTGCAGTTTGTTTATGACGTCCTAGGTTTAATCTTTCAGGAAGATGGCAAAAAGCACATAAGGCCAGGGCGCATACACCAAACAGCTGCTCACGAAGGTCGGCTTTGGCGTTCAGTAACGCAAGCCTATGGATCATCATCATTGCAAGGGTTCTAAAGCTAGCTTCCTCCCAGAAAGCACAGAACAGACCATCCCTATAAAGGCGCCAAGTCAAAGTCCCCCCTTGCATTAACACATGCCACGGAAACAGAAACCTCCTCAAGCGAAAGACAGTACAAGCCAACACACAAAGCAACCTTAGCCGGAACAGAAGCAAAGGCCCAATTCTATTAGAGCCTGGCGAGAAGAAAACGCCGATAAATGCAGGCCAGAACCACGCAAAAAGGGTTTTATCATAAATCGTCTCTCATATGTGATACAATGAACCACCGCGGAGGCATTACCAGATGCAAGGTTTCACGGAGATCCTGCCAGCCCCATCTCCGAATCACTGGCCATGACGGAGTTATCCTCCCAGTCTTCTGCAAGAGGAAGTCAGTGGCTGAAATAGACGTGGATGGCAAAGTAATCACAACTCACCGGATGCTAGCTCTTCCGGGACTTCAGCAATCAGGTCCTCAACAGCTGCAATGGTTTCTGTAGTCTTCCGTTAGTAACAATAAACCGAATATGATTCTGAAAATATCGTACCCTGGGCTTGCAGAATAGCCTCCTGGTCTTCTTCACTATCACCAAAATACGTGCTTAGGCAATGTTCCACCACAGTGCGGATGGATTCCACTGCTCTGGGATCAACGCCAGAGCCTGGGACATTGACATATGCTTTCCGCAATCGGTTGATGCTCGCGTGTACCAATTTCTTGGCTACTTCAGCCTGACGTGTCTGCCAATCGTCACCTGCCTCTTCCGCTTCGCCGCTGAATAGGATTTGCCGAAGGACGTCCAGCGTCATGTTGCGAACCCCTCTATCGGGGAAGGTTAGCAAGGGAGGAGCCCACTCTGGGATCATCTCGATGAGATGGTTCAAAAACCAAGCTTCATTGAGTTTAAGCCGATCGTTGCGACTGCCCATAACGCTCGTGAAGAAGACGATATGCTCCCTGCCACCGCTGTCATTGATAGAATCAACCCCCTTGGCGACGAAGTCAATCAGACTGACGATTCTAGCCTCGTCAGGGCCTCGTCGACAGAATATCAAGGTTGCCTCTAGGAATGGCGCGCAAAGACTGGCCGGTGCCAGTCTCAAGCCTTCTTCCAGGGTTCTACAGATTGGATCCATAAGACCAGCATCAGGCTCTGCGTCCACAAAAAGAGTAACGATATTCCTGCTTGCCGGTGGACTGCTGTTATGCGTGAGAACTGTTGTCAGAAACGACAACTCTTTGCTCTTCCCCAGCGGCCGGATGAACATGGCCTCCGACATTGTAAGAGTGTACCTGCCGTCTGGCAGGGTTCGTCTTTTATCATCTTGGCTCGGCGGAACAGTGAGGTCAATGCGTGCTATTAGGTAGGCAAGGAGATCCATGAGTCGTTTGTAGGAGAATCGCCTGCCCTTCTCCATGAACTTGATGATGAAAGCGTACTGCCGTCTTAGGCGCTTCGAGTCCTCATGGTCTAGCCAAACGATTTCAAGGCATTTGAGGAGGAACCCATTGTTGAGAATTATGCCAGTTTCGTATTGCCCAAAGTTTGCAAGCATCGACAAGAACTCGAAGTAATCATCCCAAGAGCGGCTCGCGGTATGCAGTGTCGACCACATGCTTTCCAGAGTTCGCACCACGTTCTCAAAGCTATTCAAGTATCTCATCTTCCATACTTCCTTCTCGACATCCTCGTCATCTGCACCTTTCTGAAGCCCTTGGAGTTTTGAAAGAGAGCAGATTATGAGCCTTATCGAGTTGCTGCGGACGGCCGGATGGGGACTCCTTAGAACCAAATTGCGGGTTGCTGACGGCTTGTTTTCGAACCACTGCATGATTCTATAAGCCGCCATCGGCACCTCGGAAATGACCGTGAAGAGCAGTGTAACAAATGCGTCCAGGCCCAACGGTTCCCTTGACCTCGAAAGTAACTGTTCTAATGTATCCAAGGCAATGAAGATCATAGACTTGTCCAATTTGGCCTTGGTATCACTCCGGGGCCCCTGCTCTTCAAGGATCATGGAAAGCAGATATCGAACGAAGAGAGCGTGGTATGGGTCCATCAGACAGTAGACACGGATGAAGATTTCGTTCTCCATCACAATATGGTTAGCGAGTTCCCTAGGCAAGGACACACCCACAGGGTGTTGAGGCTTTGTTGGTTTGTAAATCGCCTTCTCTGCCTCCATGCTAGAAGCACGTTGATAGAAAAGCATATAGGCGTTCCACACCTTGTTGAACCGGACCTGGCCCATGGCCGAAGACTGCCCGGAGTCGTTATGGCCACCAAAGCACTGGTCAGCGAGTTTTGCTTGGTCAAACCGGCTAACATCAGAATCATTGAACTCGACCCAGGAGCCGCCAGCTCCAGAAGTAGGTCTCTCACGGATGTAAGAGTAGTAGTGGCCAGATTCAGCTGTACCACTGTGAACCAAGACGCCAACGAGTTCAAAAATGTCCTCCTTTACTTCGGCTGTCTGGTCTGAAAGATATTCAACTTTGTACGGGCTCATGTCGATGAAGTCCGGGAACTGGAATTCATCGTTGATCTTGCTTCGCAGCATCGTAACCATGTCAAAGTCAAAGCGCTTTAAATGAAATATTAGATTGTCAGGCACATCTTTCAGGCAGGCCCGCTTAACTGCATCGACGTGGCGTCCACACAATGTGCAAGAATACTTGTTATCTGCGGACACAATACTGTCAGTGTGGTGTTCGTGTGTTTGACGGTCCAGAATATCACTTACCTCCCTGCATGATCTCCCCTTCAACGTAGGCTTGCAGACTGTCTTCGAGGCTCGCTTTGTCTTTGATTTCGCATTGAATAGCGGAGAATGGTTCAAGCCGCTCGGAGATATGGGGGCATTCCTTAGACTTGATTTGCTGGACTAGCTGCCCGCCATAGAACGACCGGAATCTTTTCTTGCTCTCGTTATCTGAGATCTGAGCCTCCCATCTGTCAAAAAGAAGATTATAGAACTCGTCAACATCCATCTGAATAGTGACGTCGATGGGTTCGTTGTCATAGGTGCGTATCGTGTCGACAAAAGCCTGTGAGTCAACGCTCTTGCTCCAGGTCTCCTGCATGTGCCCGAACAACTTCTTCGTCTCATATAGCAGCTTCTGAGATCCGTCCGGGTCCTCAAGATCGAGCTGCAGTATGAAGTCACGAAATCCAACGTTCATGAAAAGCTGAGTCAGAAGGGAATTCAAGTAGCAGGTGTTTGAAAGATTTTTGAGCCCTGCATAACCTTCTGGAGACCGGAGCATCTTATACCGGTCGAAGCCCCAAGCGGGAGAATAGGTGTAGTCTGTAGGGCGGAATATCAGTCAGCGATAATACAGATAAGAGAAAAAATGCAGGAGTTCAGACCTAGTGGAATAAGATCCTCAAGACGCTCAACGATTGTGGAGTAGTTGTTCTCATCGAGTCTGCAGAGTTGACATAGTATACTATACAGCTCCTGTCGGGTTTGGGTGTGCATGACAGGAACTTGAGGTACAATGAGATCGGTGGAGGGTGACGAAAGGTCGGGGAAGAGATATTGATCGAACAGGCTCTCGGCGAGATCGCTGCAAAGTCAGTATAGAACAATGGACACAACTGTAGCGAAACTCACAAAGTGTTAACTGTAGTATCGTTAGAACCTGCCAGCTCCAGGCATATTCTCAGAAGACGAGCGAAGCCCAGAATAAGATGGTCTACAGGCTCGCGGCCAACAAACTATAAAATAGGTTAGCGAGTCAGAGATTAGAGTATAAGAGAAGACTGACCTCTTCTGTTTGATGGCGCAGCATGGTTGTGCTCCACTGCTTCAGGTATTGGCTCAATGAAAGGTCATGCGGTGATCTCTCAGCGACGGAGCGGAAAACCAAATTGGCAATTTCGAAAAACTCCTGGCATTGAGCTGCGTTATCGAGCGTCACAGGGAAAGCCTTGTCGAAAGCATTCCAAATCTTTGCAAGGATCTCAATTCGAATGGCATTGTCAGAAGCAGGTGTGTCTTGTGTGCCCTGTGTCTCAGAATCAATTGGCTTCGTCGATTTCCTGAGTAACTTGGAAGGACTACAAGCAACAGCAATATTCTCTGCAATGCCTTTCCGGATGGGCTGGCGATGCTCCTTCAGAAGAAGTGAACAAAGGAGTTCATCAAAGTGCGGTTGTTCCTTGACAGCCTCCCAGAAACCCAGATCCCGAACTGAGCCCTCCGTCAGGACAGCGAACGAGTTGCAGATCAACTTAGTAATGCTTGTTTCCGAAGGAGAAGAGATAGGTAGAAGCCGCGCAGCTTCCATGAAGTGGAAAAGTCGCTGAACCAATGCCGTTGGATTCGGGACCACCGGCGCTTCACCGGGAATAGCTGGTCGTACCAGAAGCGCATAAAGGAGGCACTCGACCATGTGCGTTGCAACTAAAAGTTTGGTGGGACTATCTTTCAAGCCACCCGCCATCTCAGAACGCGTCAGGGCAGAGACTAAGACGCGGATGCTGTGAGACACATAGTCTTGATTTGGTGATGCCTAACAACGCGACTTGGTTAGCGAAGTACACCACAGAGTCAGCATACCCTTACCTCGAGAGTTTCTTCACGTAACG